AAGACAGGCGAGACCCGTCTGCAGGAGCAGGATTACTCCGAAGTGAACTTTATTTACTACACGTAAGTGCATCATGTATTTGCAGGTTTCATTCTTCGTCAGGCGAATTTCGCGGAACGAGCCGAATGACAAATAGGAGGCGAGGTCAAAGAAACCTTCGACACCTGTGCCCCAACTAAGGGTCGGGGTAGTTTGGGTAATAACAGGAACAATAGGAAAACCAGGAACCGTTTTTACCGCGAGTCTTAGGGTAAAATAAGCCCTATTTTCACCAGAAGCACGCTCGAAACTACAGGAAATGATAATAAACTTGGTATGGAAATTGCCATACCAACGGAGAAAAGAGTTAACTTTTTTGCGCCGTTTTTTAAGTGTTCTTTGGTCGGCATGATGAGTGGTTTTCAGTACAGAGATGAATTTTGGTGTGGTGAGCCGAGGATGTACACTGAGAAAACCTTAAAAAACTTTTTTGGGGCCTTAAAAAAAAAAAAATACCGTGAAAGGGGGGTAACTTCGGACACTTTCGATAGGTTTTTTGAAATTGTGAAAGTCGTGGTGCTGTCAGGGGCTTGAGGGTTAAAATTTATCATCTACCCACCTTTAGCTTCGTTTTGGGCGCTTATTTAAAATATTTTAACGTCTCACCTTTTTTTACAGTGGGGGTCCGAAGCAGTGTCCGAAATTCCCCCGTGTTTTGGGGTAATTTCGGACACCCCTGGAAAAAACGACTTTTCGTTCTGATTTTGGTCCTAAAATCGATCACTGTTTTCTTAAGGGGGACCCTGGTGAAAAAAATCGCCAAAATTCCAAAAAATAGTATTTTCAAAGTTCATAGATAAAATGTGCGTAGAAGGTTTCAGATTCAACAGGTTGAACCCCTTTAAGCTAAGGGGGTAGTTTCTTTATCTTTTGGAAAGGAAATAACATTGAGATCAGTTGTCGTTGGCTTCTACGCTCAACTTCACAGTTTTTGCTCAGTCGAAAAAAAATTTTGTCGTAGAAAGATTCCTGCTTTCCTGGTTGACACCTACATGAGTCGTCTTGCATGGACTCTATTCATCGATGACTTGTCGACAAATTTTAGTAAACGGAATCTTGATACCCGCCCTACTTTTTTAAAACAACCTAAAAGTTTAAAAAAAGGGGAAAAAAATATCATTTTTTTTTAAATGTTAAAATTTGAAAACTCACATCTCAGGACAAAGTTGAATTTTAAAATTCCGTCACTAAAAACTCTTTTTATACATCTTTAGGATAACCCAAAAAAATTTTCAAGACTTTCGTCCCAATGAAAGACGCAGGAAGTTTTTTCCCCCAAAGCTCCAAAAAACATAAAAGCCACTTTTCTCAGAGACCCTTCAACATTTGGATTGAATTTTTTTTTGGGAACTCACCATAATGAACCCAATAGTTAAGCAAAATTTCAACTTCCCGGGATTTTTTTGAAGCCTACTTGAAAGTTTCACCAGGGTCCCCCCGTAAGTGCTAAAATGATTATATGAGAAATTCGTAAGGGTTTAGATGTAAAGGTAAGGTAGGGGTGGTCATTCATTCATAATTTGAAGTCATGTTTTTGCACTCATATGTAGTTTGATTTCAGGAATAGTGGGTGGAACTATAGTAGAGCCATTTAGAACGCTTTTATTTGTAATTTTTGACCGATTAGCTTTCTTAGGCAACTCGGGCCATACTTCATTCGCGAAAGTGAATCTTAAATCTGCCTCTACAGGACCCATGCATATGAAGGGCAAGTAGTCGTGTCGTATGTACGGTTAGGAAGATACAGGGGCTCAGTGGAAAGCTTTGCATAGAAAACCCGGCGAGCTATGCAGCCATTCCCCAAAGTTCAACTCTCATGTCACATAAAAGGGAAAATTAATCACAAAACAGTCGTTGACACTAACGTAGGATATGCACATAAAACTAAATAAAAGATGTAGCTTTCCCCCATTTTTATGAAATTCGAAGTTTACAAAGAAACCGCTGTAACAATTGGGGAATATCTTTGTTATTGGATTATCTTCAACTTGCAGAAGAGCTCTTCAGCTTCCACTACTCAAACCCTGCGAAATTGGAAGTGTTCAGGGCATCCCTCTGCCCTTTGGGCGTGACGTTTGTATGTCCGAAATTACCCCGTAAAGTAAAAATTTTTCATTTTTGAGCCCATAAAAACCATACTATTTGACCCAGGTGTTTGAAAATTTGACACAGTATGCTCTTAACATGATCAAATCGACAAACAATCACCTCAAAAACCGGCCATGAACAGTTTCGGCTTGCCAGTAAAAGTTTTTACGCATAAAGTGAATTTGGGTAAAAATGGTTAAATACAAAAACCACTTTTCTCCTGAAATTTGCCCCCGATTTGGCCTCCGGGTGATTGATCAGATGGGTTTTTGGTGGCCGATGCGATGCGCGCAACGGGACAAGCCTCCAAGTCGGCCGTTAGATGGGCATCATCGCCATGCTTCCGGGCAGAGTTGTCCGAAATTACACCGAGTGTCCGAAATTACCCCGTTTCACGGTAGTTTGTATAGAGTGATTCCATATCTAGGGAGCACAAGATTTTTTTTGGTGTCACCGATCTGGACCAAAATTTTACCACATGTACCCCTAGGGTAGACAAAGATGCCCACAAATTTTGAAGGTCCTAGGTTGACCCAGTCCGGAGCAGTGGGCCTTAGTGTGCTTTGCGACTTTTTGCAAGTCATTGTAAGTTCATTTCACAGGTGGAATCGTAATCAAACCGTGCGTCTCTAATTTGCCCCTGATTTGGCTCTTCGAAACATAATCCTGACAGGCTGAAAACACTCAACACAAGTAAGGAAGTAGAAGATACTCATCAGACCACTATGTCTATCTTGGGATCATAGCTTATCCCATTCTTACCCAGGCCACAAATGAGTCATTTCCCCGCTAAAGTCCTTCAGACTACGGAGTGAAATTTACGCTTTCTTCCATAGCTCCCAAACCAAGTCTATGCCCAGGCTGAAATTTTGTGCAGTTACTAGGACCAAGGAAAGGTACTTTCTAAAATGTTTTCAATTTTTTTTCAAAAATATGTTTTTGAGATCTAGAAAAAAAAATTAAAGTTCAACTTTTTTCAAAAAGTAAAAAAAATTCTAAAATGTTGTCCTCATGCCCCTTAAGACCTGGTAAAATTTTCAAGGCCCTAGGTCAAGCCCTTCCCATCGATTTGTACCTTCAAAGTTGACTTTTACCAAAAAGTCGCAAAACACACTAAGGCCCACTGCTCCGGACTGGGTCAACCTACACTCTACAAAAAATGTCCTGTCAACGCCGTTAATTTATTACCAATGTTTGCTGTTATGCAATTCACGGCGTTTGCTGTGAACTAGTTCACGGCGTTTACTGTGATCTCGGTTACAGTGTTCACTGTGATCTGGCCACAGTAAACGCCGTGAATTGGAGCCTGATTTGCAGTGCTTCGGTGCTCAGCGGCGTCAAACTCACAGTGTTTACTGGGGACCAGATCACAGTGAACACTGTAACCGAGATCACAGTGAACGCCGTGAACTAGTTCACAGCAAACGCCGTGAACTAGTTCACAGCAAACGCTGTGAACTGACCTACAGTGAAAACTGGTAATAAATTAACGGCATTTACAGGACATTCTTGGTAGAGTGTAGAGACCCTCCCGTCAGAGATGCGCAAAGGGGGGCCCTCTCAGCCAATCACAGACGACTGGTAGTCCCATGCGGAGCGGGAAGCCCGAATTCGCCCCGCGCGAGGCTACGCAGGTCAGCATCTGGTGCGGCACAGCAGGTATACGGCGGTCGCCCGCTAGCCTGACTCAGGGTGCCTTTGACTCCACGGGACTACCAAGCGCTGGCTTGCGCATCTCTGACGGGAGGGTCTCTAGGTCAACCTAGGACCTTCAAAATTTGTGGGCATCTTTGTCTACCCTAGAGGTACATGTGGTAAAATTTTGGTCCAGATCGGCGACACCAGAAAAAATCTTGTGCTCCCTAGATATGGCATCACTCCATACGTAAGCTTACAAAGCAAATACTTTGTAACTTACGAATTATTTCTTCGTATAACAAAGTATTTTAGTTTGTTTTATGTATGCTCTAAATACTTCGGAAGGTTTTAAGGGTGTACCTAATGACCCTGCAGAATCTCAGCCAGATAGGCCGAGCCGTTTAGGAGGAGCAGTGTGGATAAACAGACGGATGGACAGACAAACAAACAGAAAAAGTTTTCTAACCCCACCAGAGTAACGGGTTTCGCTATCACTCAGCGAAAAATATCAACAAGAGCTTAGTTTGCACTGTACGTGCGATGCTGAGAGCCGGCAAGCCGACTATTACACGTGTCAGCACTGTCGAGACTTATGCAAACACGGCACACGTGCGGCCGTTGAATGCCAGGAATCTTATCGTTTCCTGGGTCCATGGAACACACGCCTTCTCTGAGACAGGCAAATTTCTCAATGTTACATCAATTGACTCCGCTTGAAAGCAGTTATCGTACACCCCACGCCTACGAAAGAAGAAAGTTAGCACGTGCTGCTGTGAAGTTGGGCTTCGTGGAAGGGCGAGTCTTTTAAAAGACGGAGCTCACTGTTGTTTTTTGTGTTCATCTCACTGTAGTCCGAGCGGCCAATGCCACATCGGGACGGCATGGTCAAAGCCTGATCGGTCACCGTTGGGTCCCCGAGGACGTCGACGGGCACCTCAAAGGGTCCCCGATGACGATGCGAGCATTTTAGACCTAGGTTCCGACCATTCGTTGAAAAGGTCTCATCAAGATCTACTCGAAGCAAGAATAAAAAAAAATTCTTGGTCAACCCCCTTTTTTCAAGATCCAGTTGACCAATCAGGATCTTGAAAAAAGGGGGTTGACCAAGAATTTTTTTTTAGGCACGAAGTAGCCTTATAGTATACCCAGGACTCAGCCGGCTCGAGATTTGATTTGTGTGGCCCTTTATGCATTTCGGAAGTTTTCTATACGATTTTAATGAGATTTTGCAGACTAGTAGAACTTTGAACGCTGATTCTGATGTTGAAATCTGGTCAAAAATTTGGTGGCCAATTTTGAGAAATTTGCTGTCAAAATCGCCGTTTCCATGGCAAAACTCGACTCGTCAAAGGAAAAAAAGGGAGTGGGGGGAGCCGAGCCGGGGCGGACCAATAGCGGAGCTTCTTTTTGGGTCTGTACAGCTTACTCCAAAAGCTGAAAAAGCAACGTTCGAAATGAAAAATTTCTTTGACTGCAGGTAGACAAGATGCAACAATAGAATTGGTGCCGGTTCGAACGCAGTTTTTCGGGTAGAACTATCCAATAATACTTCTTGATTGGAGTGTTTTTGGACATGCGCAGTGTTGTTGTTGTGATTCAGTTAGCACTAGGACCACTTCGCTCCACCTCGCGACTTGCAGTGCTCATGTTCCTCGAACAAGACTCACCCGCGTTTCGAAACCATCCCTCCCGAGTTTATGAAGTTTGTCAAACCAACCGTCGTGGTGTTGATACGTTGTAAGGGAGAACTATTACACAGAATTGAAGAAAACATGACTAGAGAACCATAGCCTTTTGAAACAAGCCAAACAATTCAACGTCCACAACAATGGAGGGGCAGTTTTAATGCGTGACTGCTGGCGCTTTCAGCTTCGCGATTTTCGCAAGAGCGCAGACGCCGAGAAAATAGTTGCCAACCCGAGAAAATTAATTTACTGACTTCTTTCTGCTAAGAACATTTTAATCATGATGGACTTCAAAGATGTTCCATTGTCAGAACACTGCGGAATACATTAGCATTGGAATTTTTTGAATTTACCAGCATTTTGATTTCTATTTATTGTCAAGTTTAAATTTCGACGGATGGCACATCGACCACATTGGTACCACTGCCATTGGTAGTCCCCTGAGCCACAACTTCACAACACCACTTCTTTTCTTTCTCCACACTCTTACACAATAATCAAATTGACTTCGTGACTCCTAGGATTTCTTGAAATCGTATTTTTTTATTCTTGCTTCGAGTAGATCTTGATGAGACCTTTTCAACGAATGGTCGGAACCTAGGTCTAAAATGCTCGCATCGTCATCGGGGACCCTTTGAGTTGCCCGTCGACGTCCTCGGGGACCCAACGGTGACCTATGAGGCTTTGACCATGCCGTCCCGATGTGGCATTGGCCGCTTGGACTACAGTGAGATGAACACAAAAAACAACAGTGAGCTCCGTCTTTTAAAAGACGGAGATCACTGTGGTTTTGGGTAAGTACAGAGCGACGCTGTGAAAAAATTAACAGGATTCTCTGTAGTTTTTTCTCGCAGTGAACACTGAGATTCCTAACGCTATGAATGTAGCAGGTATGGTGCAATGCCCTGAGATATCGCACCATACGTGCAATGCCTCCAGTCATATTGCACCTTACGTGCCATGCGTCCCGAAAATGCCCTATGCTAATGCATGGGGATGGGAAGGCATTGAACTTCATGTGCGATGCTTATGCATTGCACCCATTGACGCTATTTTCATAGCGTTTGGATTCTCTGTGTAGATGCAAACGCCAGGCGTGGATTGTCGAAACTGGCGCGGGATTGCGAAGCCTGTTACAAGCCACGGTGCACCTACCTTGTTGATAAATTCGTTAAATCGTCTTGGAAACACAACCAAGGCAACCCCACCGATTGCAAGAGGACATTCTTATCGTGAACGACGAAATTTTGCGATTAATTAAGTTTGCTTAAGCATAGAACTTGTTCGGTCAATTTTTCAGACAATCTGGCAGGCGTGAAATATTTTTAGATTGTTTTCATATTGTTCCTTGGTGGTGCCCCACTCCCTTCCATTATAATTATTCAATGGCAGTGTGAATGGAAAAGTATGTGCAGCGTAGATAGACAGTGTTTTTTTATTTCTTCAGATCGGACCCCACTAACTTCACAATTGTGCCAATCAACCAAGTTGATGACCTCCTGAACTTGATCGACGTGCAAAAGCCGACAGTTTTCTACGCGCACGGGTACACGGAGACTCCGAGTGGCGACAGTGTGCATGGAATCACTACAGGTAGGTCTCTGCAGTCCCCTTTGCTTGTAAGAATAATATCAAAACTTACTGAATGCGTGCTTAATGGTCGGACACATGGCCAAGTTATGGCGTGACAGTCCCGCCAAACAATGGCGTGGTCATGTCAAGAATTGGCGTGGAGAAAAGTCATGCCTAAAACCGACGTGACAAGAAATTCACACCAAAAACTTTTTAGAGTAAAATTTTAGAGTCACGCCGAAACTTACAATGAGCATGTAAAATTGACAAGCGAACAACAAGGTATTGTCAGATTTCCAATTTGAACAGTACTCTAGGCATTAAGCCCCTGACTGTCCGTTTCACAGTATACCTGTAAGCAAGGGCGCAGCCTGCCACTGACTCGATAACTGAAGCAGTGCACTAGAGTTATGTTTTTGTTGGAGTGTATGTACATGGCATGTGTGCTGAGCATATGTGCATGCCATGTGTACACGGCATGTGGCGTGAGTTAGTTGCAGCCATGTTCCAGTTAGTGCATATAATGTACGCTTTTCGATTTACAGCACCGTTGTTTGTGTTTTTCAGCGTTCATACAGCGTGGACAACACAACGTCGTCTTAGTGGACTGGAGCAAATACGATGGAGCACCTTACACTTCGGCGCTTGAAAACGTGCCCGGGGTAAGACGATAACGACGCGCTGCTAGCTGCTAGTCGCTGCAATGTTCCCAATGTTGCGTGTTCACTGTGAAAATTTTGGCTGTCGCTTGATGTCAATTTCAAGGCTAATTTTCCAAGCATGTCATAAAACATTTGATGACGTCACCGTCACGCCCTTGCAGAAAGTACGGGAGCTCTTATGAAAGTGTCATCACTTACTGATGGCAGGACATAATGTTGTCATCATTTCGACGGCGTCCTAATAGAATGATCCTAACTGCCATGGTAGATTCAAGACAATCCTAACTGTCTGTCACAGCAGATCCAAGACAATCCTAACTTTTTGTCAACGCAGAACAGAATGGGGTTTTTGCACACACACACACACACACACACCCCAGCCCCTAGATAGCCGCCCGAAAGATAGGCTAAAATGGCTACTTTGCCCCTGTAAGTAGGCAAAAAGTGCTACTTTGCCCTCCCCCCCTAGGCCACCTCTGGATCCGCCTCTGGCTAATGCAGCGTTCCTTCCAGGTGGGCAAGGCTGTCGGCGAGGCGATAGACTCATTGGTGCAGCAGGGTCTGTGCAGCGACGACCTCTGGTTCATCGGCCACTCTTTGGGCGCTCACGTGGCTGGCGCTGTTGCCGAGGCCGTCAGCTTCACCTGGAAAAGGATCACGGGTCAGTGAAATCTCGGTGTAGCACCAGCTTTGTTCGCCAGTAGTGTTGCGCAAATTTATTGAACAATGCCCTAAAAAAAGCGTTTAACTTATAACCCGTCACTTATGACTTCTTCGAAACAGGATAAGTTACTTTCCTAGCTTCTCTAATTTGTGTTCGAAAGTATACTTGCAATATTTCATACTTCAAACCGTGCGCGGATATTGTCTGTTGTTACACTCTCAGCTTCTTATTGACTTCATCGTCAGAAACCAGCCGCTATAGCATAAAACAATAATACTCAGTATTTTCTCCTTAGATAGGAACAATTTACTGCACAAACTTTTGTAGGAATTATTTTATCTTATTTATTTTATTTAAGTACTAACAAAATTTAAAGTACTAAAAAAAAGCAGATAACAAAAGTCAAAAGTACATATCACTGTTGCACAAAAAACCAGAGGTACTATCGACAAAATGTCAATACCATGTACTAAAAGACAATAGTCTGTCTGAGAGTAGGCTTTGAGAGCAGTGTTGGATAAATGTTGTATGTTCTCTTAACTCATGTTTTTAAGCGTGCTGACTGGATTTGATGTGCCGACAGGGCTCGACCCAGCCGGCCCTGGCTACGCGAAGCCCCTTCTGACGCGCGAGTCCGCCCTGGTGGTGGACGTGGTCCACACGGATGCCGGTGTCGCCGGCTACAACAGCAACGACGGTTCTATCGACTTCTGGCCGAACGGCGGCCACCGCGACCAGCCCGGATGCCACGTCTGGGAAGTGGGCTTCTTGGAATCAGTGGGCTGCAGCCACATGCGATCTTGGCAGTTTTTCGCGGAGTCGGTCAATGATGAACAGGCGTTCCCTGCCGTGCCCTGTTCAAGCTACGAAGATTTTCAGTTGGGTCGCTGCCCCCCGACCGATGCCAACACTGTCTACCTTGGCTACGCGGCGGCGCAAGCGTGAGTATCGTATTTTGTGAGGACTTCACTCGCGTACGGAAATCGGAAGGTGTCTCGCATGCTTCGGTTTGAGCGAGACGAAGCGTCTGGCCGAAAAAGGCAGGAGGCAACTAATTCTTAAAAATTGAAAGGTGGTCGTTAAAAGTGACATGCTGCAGATTTAATTCTGTACTAAGCATGCTTTAGGCTGAAGAACATCTTAATAATCTTCGGAAGTATTTTGAGCATACATAGAACCAATTTACTTTGTTATACGAAAGTAAATCAAGCATATCTGTCACGCACTCTCTACGCTGGAGCGTGCTTCAACCAGAAGCATGCTTAGTGGACGGACACTTCAACGGGTCCCATTCAAAAGATCTTATCTGGGCGTTCTCCCTAATGAATCAGCTGTGTGAAGTGTTAACATTCCATTGCATCTAGCAGATTGCACGCAAATAACTCTGGAAATTTTAGTCGAGGGGTTCTATTCATAATGAATCTTATTTAAAACGCTGGCGAATTTGTTTCAGTTCGATGATTTGATACAGCTACGACCCAATTTAGTTCGTGATTTCAGTCACTTAGACTTGAAGATAGAAGAAACCAAAAGTGCATGTAGGGATATGTTGAGCTTAATCATGTATCCGTCTCATATGAGAAAACTTGGCGAAATGCACTTGCGTTTCAGACAAGATTCTTTTTGAATAGAACCCCTCGACTCAAATTTCCAGAGTAATTTGCGTGCAATCTGCTAGATGCAATGGAATGTTAACACTACACACAGCTGCACACGATTCACATCCTGAATGAGCCGTCCAACTTTATTCAACAACGCCGCCCCTCTGTTCTGCACACAGACGCGTCGAGGGCTCCGCCTACCTGGTCACAGCGTCGAAGTCTCCGTTTGGCCTCGGAGCGAAGGGGACCGAGCCAGCCCAGTGATACTGCCATGTGTTAGTACAGAGGAGCCGGTCCCGCAGTGTTTATGTCACGTAAACTTAAGGCAGTACGCGGCTTCTTCTCTATCTGACTCCAGTTCTGAATTAGTTTCATTAAAATTATTGGCTCAGCGATAGCGAAGCTCGTTACTCCAGTGGGGTTAAGGGGGCAGTAGCACTTTGTACACGCTTTTTCAATTTATTTCGATTTTTCTGTTTGCGCCTGAATAAAAAAGACTTGCATGAATGCATGAACCCCCGTGGTTCATTTTGTAGGCAATTTTATGCTCTTTTTATGCACTTAACCGATTGAAAAAAAGTTGAAAACTTTGGCTGAAATCTTGCGCGCAGTGACACCATGTATGATTTTGCAGACCTTTTTTACGTCCCTCATATAAGTGCCTCCCCGTATGCTAAAACAAAATATTTTTTTTTTTAAATTGTTGCAAAACGTTTGATCTTTTACATGGTTACTGCCGTTTGTCTCTACCATTCATGGAAGTCTTTTTACCTCAAACAGAAAATTCGAAAAAAGTTGAAAAAGCGTGCACAAAGTGCAATGCCCCCTTAAAAAACTTTCTGTTTGTGCGCGTGCGCTCATCTCCTGAACGGCTCGGCCGATCTGGCTGAGATTTTGCGGGGTCATTAGGCATGTCCTTGGCGCGCCACACACCAATATTCGGCAATCTATCTCAATCCATTCGGTCATTCCAGCAAAAAAAAAGAAAAAAGTCAGAAAAAAGTAAACTTTTTTATGACGTATGTTCTCATTGGCTGAGCGATAGCGAAGCCTGTTACTCCAGTGGGGTTGAAAAGTTTTGTCTGTCTGTCTGTCGGTCTGTCTGTCCGCACTACTCCTCCTGAACGGCTCGGCCGATCTCGGTGAGATTTTGCACACTTCTTAGGTATGTCCTTGGCTCGGCACACGCGAAATTTCACCATCCTAGCTCAACTGGTTCAGTTTTTATAGGCGAAAAACACCTAAAAAACGGCGAAAAATAGAGATTTCTGCAGATAGACCACTTCTGTCTTGGAGAAAGGGGGGTCTGGGGGGCGGAGCCCCCCAGCCTCCACAAGTTAAAAAGTGACAAGGGTCAAGATCGTGTTATCTGTAGATAAAACAACTCTATTTACAATGTAGGGGGGTCTGGGGGGCTAGCCCCCCAGCATTCAACAAGTTAAAAAATAACCGACAACGGACAAGCCATTGCCTGCCGCAGGCAGGCTAGCGCCGCAGGCCAAGGTAGGTACGCCAGGCGTGGATTGGAGGAACAGGCAGCGAGACATCGCGAAGCCTGTTACGACAAGACGCGGTCTGGCGTAAACCTACCTTGTATCAAGTACACATTATTTCCTATGTTTTCGAGGGTGCTGATGACGGAAATTGAATCCACTTTGACCTGCCACCCACGTTTGAATCCCCAAAGAGCATAATTTGGCCAGAATGTCTATCCCGATGTTTACAATGGATCATACAATCTTGAGGTAGCTAACCCAGTTTCACCAGCGAACCCCGTCACTCCATACTTGCAGCGGGTGTCTGGGGGGCGGATCCTCCTATCATGAATTAAAAGCCGAACGCTGTCTCGACTTGCAATCACATCGATTTGTGCACCGACGTCTGACTAACATGCCTGTCAAAGGCAAGCCAATGGCGCAGGCCAGGGTAGGTGTAGACGCCAGGCGTGGATTGTATAGGAACTAGCACAGCATCGCGAAGCCTGTTTCAAGCACACTAAATGTTATGTACAGTTTTGTACGAGACATCACAGTTTTTTGTGCACACGAACTTTTCGTACAATTTTTGTGCCAAAAACTGCACAAATTTCCCTTTTTTGTGCAAAATTTCGTACGAATTTGTACGAAATGTTCTTGTGCTCAAAAAACTGTGATGTCTCGTACAAAATTTGTACAAAAACATTTAGTGTGAGCCACGCTCTGTCGTACACCCACCTTGTGTGAAAAGATAAGGCTCCCGAACCCTGGTTCCGTTTCAAACCCACGGTCTACGTGCTCGACGTAGAGAAATGATCGGGCTTCAAGAGAGAAATGAAAACAGCACCCAGCATGATCCAAGCGATGAAAAAAACTAAATTTATTTACATGTCCGTAGTGTACGTACATCCTTGTACATGCACAGGATTCTGTCCATCCTGACAGAAATGAGGTACAACAAACACATGAGATCACTGGTATCAAACCGGCACGAAGATTAGTTTTACATTCGGATGAGTGAGCTGCAGTTGAGGTGCAGACCGGCTTTCACGATGGCGTCCTTGAGTCCCTCTCGCACCGCCTGGCTGATCCTGTCGTGCAGCGAGGCCGTCACCCAGGTCAGGACCTTGGAGAGGTAGGCCTTGAGGTCGCCCAGTCCTTCGGCCTGCACCTGGATCTCGCCCAGCTCGGTGAGCTCGAACGAGTCGACAACCAGCGCGCAGGCGTCGTCCGAGACTTGCGGCAGGCTGGCGCGCAGGTGCAGCGTGTTGGTCGCCACCGTGGCTGTGAGGTGGCCGCCGGGCCGGAGCTTGCCCAGCACGATCCTGTAGCTGTACCTGTGGCAGCCAGTTGGACGCCCCATTTGAAGACTGAATGCCCTTTTTTGCGACCCATTATTGCACTTGGAGGCCGTTCAAATATGACGTCACACTTTTCAGGGAGGAAGGGGTCAGAGAAATCGTGACCAAATGTGACATGGGGGAGAGGGTGATGTAGGCATTGTGACATCACACTTTTAAACAGTGTAAAATTGCCAAATATAAAAGGGGTGAGCCACTAAAAAATAAACTGAAATCAGCAATCCCCGCCTACTTCAGCTTTAAAAATTATCACTAGCTTAAGTATTTTAGCTGCACTTTCCTCAGATTCTTTCGAACAAGTAGGCGTAAGACCGAATTGTTCGAAATGCAATCAAATTGTTATGAAATCCCAATTTAGGCTCCTAATTAAGATTATCTAGTCGCGTATCTATCCCAGTTGCCAAGAATAATAACTTGGACAATAGACCATTCTAGTCGTGGCTGAGTGAAGAACAAGAAGAATCACAAAAGACTCCATTTAGGGCATTTAAAGTGATTATATTTGCTCAAATGTGTTGCATTTACTAGAAAATATTTGAATTAACTTCTACCAAGCAAGGGGACTTAAACATTTGAAGTAAAAGTGCAAAAAAGTACACTTTTGTGATTCTTCTCGTTCTTCACTCAGCCACGACTAGAATAGTCTATTAAATGTGACGTCACGGGGAGGGGTGGGGGGAGTCTAAATAGTGACCATTTGTGACTATTTGTGACTATTGTGAAATTTTTGAGGGAGAGGTCGAAAAAAGATAGGTGTGACGTCAATTTGAACGGTCCCCTTTCGCGATCATAGGGTGCCAGCCAACAACGAGTAAAATGTATTCCGTAATATTGAAATGAGAAAAGTCAGAGTCGGGTCTGTTCGATTCTTTCCCGCTCCTGCAGTTTTTATCCTTCCCCGCACTGGCAGCGCACGTGACTCACCGTATTTGCAGGTCAGTGAGGCTCAGGGGGATATCCAAGCTCAACTTGTCGCCATTCGTGGACATGACCGCGTCGCCAATGCGGTGGAGGGAGGCCAGCGACTTGGCCCACCCGTTGAAGGCCAGGAACCTGCCCGGGATCTTAATGGAAATGACCTTCTGCTTCAACTTCTCTGAGATGTCGGGCAAGGACACCTGCTCCATGCCACGGTTGGAGATCTCCGCGCGGGCCGCGCTGAGAAGCTGGTCCACGAAGGTGTTGACGTCCAAGGCGGAATTAGCTCCTGCACCCTACAATGCAGTGACCAGAATTGCGACTGAATTACAAATCTTTCCCTATCACACTTGAAAACAATTACTTTACAAACTCAAGTGTAGCATGCCTCAGGTTGAAGCATACCCGGCGCAGTCCAGGTGGCAGATACTTGCCACGTATACGGATGCCTGAGGTATGCTTACACTTTCATTCCAGGACCCTGACTTCACGTTGAAACGAACGCGACAAAATGTCACGTTCGTTTGAGCATCGTGTCACATTCGTTAGGATGTGAATCGGCCAAAATTCAGCTTGTTCACATTCAAACGAACGTGACATTTTGTCACGTTCATCACTGAAAAAACCCAAAAGTGGTCTAGACCGCACCAACTGGTGTGGTCAAAAGGATGCCATTTTTCCCCCACCAGCTGGTGTGGTCTAGACCACGTTTGGGGCGTTTGGTGTGGTCTAGACCACACCAACGTGGCCAAACGTGGTCTAGACCGCACCATACGTCGTCAAACGTGGGCTAGACTACACCCAAATGATGTGGTCAAAATGGCATCCATCTGACCACACCCGTGGTGCGGTCTGGACCACGTTTGGTTTTTCAGTGATTTTAATGTGAAGTCACGCTCCTGAAATTTATGTGTACACACTTGAATTTTTAGACGAGCTACGTGCTATTTTTTTAAAATTTCCACTATGTGGAATGCAAAATACGCTAATAAAATAGGAAATCGAGCACAACCGACAAGAAAGCTCTTAAGTTCCCGCCCGGACAACATTCTCGAGTAACAATACGCCACACTGGCTCGTTGTGCCTATTTTCACTATCCTGTTCCAAAACGGATGGGCTGCTGGGGAGTTTTAACTACTGTCATATTCCGGTCATCGCCTTTAGCCTGTCAACGAAATTATAGAGAGCAAGCAGATCCTTATTAGTGGGGGAAAAGTACCTTGGGATGGTCTATAGGGACCGCCAGGGCTGCACTTGCATCCCCCAAGATAACACTAACTACTTTCACTGCAAATCCAAAGGCGTTGCTTTTAGTACCTTTATCGTTGTGTATCGCCAACAAACGGCCGTATAGAAAATCTTTCCTTTAAGGTCAAAATTCAATTGTGGGTCACGAATCAATTATGGGCCATTTTGTTTGACGGGCCGCTAAAAATCCATGAATGACCGAACCGGCTTCAAATTTGGCATGGGTCTTCCCTCAACCTTCCTTTGTCAGCTGAAACGGTGCGGATGTCTGAGCATCGACCACAACGAAACCTATCGGGCAGCAAAGAGAGACCTTAAAAATTCAACGGAAAATTGGGCCTATCCAAGGGCAAGAAAAACGAAAAAAAAGGATGTTTTTCAAACATTTAAAAAAAATCGAATTATGGAACGGAGCGGGACGCCCTTGCTGATTTAAGGATATAATAGGTGAAGGACTACAAGTCAACCTTAGTTTGGTAAGTGGTGTACAAGGCTTGGCGCGCGAGTAGCTTCAAAAATTGCTGACCCACAATTGGTTCCAAAAATCAATTGTGGGCCAAAACAGCCAGTTTTAAAAACGGCTGTAGCTCAGTAAACGAGGACGAAAGACGAGGCTTCTATGCTGCAAAACGTAGTCAAGGGATCATATTTGAACGTCTCAAAGCTACTTTGGCTACTTGTTCAACATTTATATTTTAAATATGCATTTAAAAAAAAAGTTACCCATAATTGATTTTTTACCTTAAAGAAGCAATAAACAATTTTTTTTTTTTTCAAAATATGACAACAAACTCTGAGCAAATCAAGGGTGCTGGTGTGTTAATTGCCCAATCTTGGCGATACTCCGACGTATCGCCACATTTTGTCGATGATTTTATGCACCAGATTTTCCGTACGTCCGTTTGTTGGTGATACTCAATCGTATCGACCAAACAGATTCTTAAAATATCGCCATTAGATTTGGAGTCTCTTATAAACTCACCATGCAAGATGATTGCTCTTCAAGTACCGATACTGTGGAAGGTTGCTCTTCGAACTTCCCAGCGTCAACCATCTCCGCTGTGGTCACCTCGTGGGTGGGTTCGTCCAAGGGGAAAGCTGCATCAAAAAGAAACGCGTACGCGGATAGAAAAGCTATTGTTGATGCTACAATGTAAATGTGCCATAGATAAGGCTGAAATGCCCAGCACCCAATAATTGCCATCGCAAGCCCTAAAAAACAAATATGGGGCGTGCAAGCCAGAGGGCTGTGCGTTATTTTAATATCAATATGAATATCCAATAGTTCAAATTATCCAATTAAAAATCAATATAAATATTTGGAATGGAGATAGACTTTCGGGAATAGGAGGTACTAATATCGAAATATTGCCTTCAATATATTGGACAACAATTCCACTATTGACGGTCAGAATCAGCATAAGCTGCATTTTTAGGACAAAAATAAGCGACTCTGCACCGTATCCTTTGTTATTGAATCCAGTCGTTCACCGTTAATCCCTTTTCGAAATAATACCGCAATGTAATTTTCAATGTTAAAATAGAAATTTCAACATTAAACATTTTGAAATTGTCTGTCAATGTATTGAATTAACGCCCAGCCAGAAGTTTTCAGAAACTTTCAGATAAGTAGTCTGAAATGCAGATTCAGACCACGAAGTCTGACAAAAGTGGTCTGAATTACCAGATTTCTTTTAACAGCGTCCGAAAAGGTGGAGTCACAGGCAACCCACATCATTTTCAAGGTTGACGTGAGTGCATATCAGGCCAACTGGTGCACTGAACAAAAAGGGGACCTGCTCCTGTGCCAGAAACGTCCAAGAACTGAATTCAGTAGAGACTTTCCCCCATGACAACACTGAGATTCCAAACGTATGAGTTTAGCACGTATGGTGTAATGCACTGGGATATCGCATCATACGTGCAATGCCAGAGCCATATTGCACCTTACGTGCAATGCATACCGAAAAGGCCCTATGGTTACGCATGGGAATGGGAAGGGATTGCACTTCATGTGCAATGCAGTGAAAATGTGGTGCATACCTGGTATTTTTATGTCCTCTTCATTTCTTTCGATTTCCCATGGCATTTTTGAAAGGGCAAGGGTTAAAATCTTCCGCAATTTCAGCACCGCGTCGCGATTTGTGGGCTTCAGTACAAGGGCTCCTTGGAGGTTGTCGCAAAACAATTCCGGCGTAGTGTAGACGATTTCTTGGCTGTTGAATTTGCGAATTCCCGTTAAGGCACGTACCACGCCCTCCTTCACGTCTTGGATCGTGCAACCGTCGTTGTCAAGGAGGCCGCCGAGTATCTCGTTGCAGAAGTGCAAAATAAATATGGAACCTGCCTTGCAATATGAAAAAAATTCCTTAAGTAACGCGGGGCCTGGTGGCCGCACGGTGAATGAGGTACCTGGTGTTCCCAGGAAGCCTATGGTAGAGACAAAGGTGATTTTAAGGAAGGTCCTGGGAAAACAAGAAGCAGTTTTTGACCTGCCTTGCAATATTAAAAAAAAATTCGTACTTAGGTAATGGGGCCTTGTGGCCGCACGGTAATTAAGGTCAGTACCTGGTTTTCCCAGGCAGCCTATGGTAGAGACAAAAGCGATTTTTAGGGAGTTCCTGGGAAAACCAGAAAGAGTTTTTTATTTTTTACCGTGCGGTTCAATGGAGGGCACTTTAAAAAAATTATAACTTAACGTGCTTCGGGGAAATTAAGTTTTTCGTTTATTAAAGTAACTGACATGAAGACCAAAAGAAAAGGAGGAACAGCGCTTCCAATTTGCGCCAGCAAGCAAACTCAGGGAATTTCGATTTCGTCAGCCGAAATGAATTGAGCACATAGCGTACATCGTTTTTCGGGCACAAATTAGGTTATATTTGAAAACTTACCCAAATCACTGCTGTAGGACACACGTGTCTGTACACACGATGCGATACCCATTGTATTCCCCCATGGGTCTGCGGCAGAGTCAGCTGTGACTTTAAAACTCGAGAGTTTAGGTCCATCCTTGGTCACTGTGAAATTTGTTTGGTTGTGAAGGAGAGCCATGCACGGATTTAAGCGCAAAAGTGTTCTCGGATACTTACTACACATCTTCCCTCGGCATGCCTGAATCACTATCACCTTTGGTCTACTTCGAAGCGTTTCTTGTTCCGCTAGTATAGCCCGAAGCACGTTGAGGGGTAAATATTCGCCGTCGGAAAGTGTTATACCTGAAATTTAAAATAAACTTCAATGACGGAGTCAGGTACACACTCTAGCCCTCAAATAGTTACACACCGTCGTGTCGTGTGTTACGGACTGTCTTCTGTGCATTGCGAAGAGTTACTTTGCAAATTGAGAACAAAATGCCTTCACTGAGATTCCAAACGCTTTGAGTACAGCACGTATGGTGCAATGCAGCTGAGATATCGCTCTATACGTGCAATGCTTCCCGAAATTGCCCTATGCTAATGCATGGGAATAGGGAGGCATTGCACTTCATGTGCAATGCGTTTGCATCGGACCAATTGACGCTATACTCATAGCGTTCGGATTCTCAGTGTTGCAACGGCACTAACCATTGTATCGCAGCCACTGACGTTTCTAATGTGACAAGTTTCATACAATTAGCATTGATAAAAAGGCTAATGTGATTTTCTCAAATCATCATATGTGGCAGAAATAAAAAATTATCGCCTTATAAATGCAATAATTTTTTCTGTGATCTGGCCCGTTTAGGCTCTGATTATCACATTTTGGTGTGATATAGTGAGAACATACGTACATGCAATTCAGTATTTGAAGCACTTATGATGCAAAAACTTCTTCAATGCGCTTGCAATGCAATTTGAACCACACTTGAGATAACAATGGCGTTAAGGATCTTTCTCATTTTAACTTTCGTACTATTTCCACACAAAGCGAGGAAAAGTTCGTGAGGTGTTCGCAATTCAAAGGCAGCGAATACGTCATTTTACGAATTACGTTTCTTTAACAGCATTTAGAAGTGAGGACAGGAACAAACCTTTTTCATCGCCATGCGTCGAGAAGCACAGAAAGAAAGGTCCGCGCTTAAAGGCCTCTTCTTCTTCAAAGGGTGTCACAGCTTCCTTCAGAGCATTTACGAAATCCGACTGGCTCCAGCTCAGCTTCTCTGTGGCTGGGAATGTTCTGCAGCCCGTAACTGTGAACGTGCTCTTGAGGAACATGAAATCGTTTCTTGCGCCTAGACGCGGCTCGTCTGTGCCCTTGAAGTCCCTGACGCTGATGATCAGAGCGACGCCCGGGCTGACCGGATACCGTCCAGCCATCCTGCGGCGAAGCACTGGGCCACTGACTGCGCACATCTAACCTGCGCCGGCCGTGCCCTCACCTTCACCGGGACAGGAAAACGGCCGCAGATTTGGTCAGATAAGATACAAGACGATCAGGAGTGCGATAGACGCTTTCGCACGTCGCCGACTGAAAAACGAAAGTAATCAAAAGCCAGGATGTTATCCTGAAAATATGAGAACTTAGTGGCAGGATGAACGAGAGAGCAGTGATCCTTAACTGAACATAACATTTAACTAACACCGCTTTCATAACGTAACATAAGGCAAAGTTCGCTAAAGGTTAAGGGTGGACTGGTGCAAGAACTTCCAAATGCAAATTTGAGAAGCTAGAAAAGTAAATTATCCTTTTATAAAGAAGTCATAAGTTACTGGTTATAACTTTGACGCTTACGATACCGTAATGATGCCATTTCGAGGTAAGTTAAGGATCCCTGCGAGACAACACTATGGCCTTATTATCTTGGTTTATTTTAATTGTCATCCCTAATGACAGTTGAACAGTTACCCTACCTTCAACTGGAGAATACTGGAAGGACGCCGCGAGAAAGCGACGCATTTCGACGCGGACATGACTTGTTTCACTTGTTAATGTTCACAGAAGTTTTCACACACTTGAAATTTCAACACGGGCTGGCGATGGCCACGCGGGCTCGTGTCACAAGTTTTGATAATTTCACAAGGAAGACGCTGATTATCCACGAGGCAAGACGAAGGCACAGAGGGACGACCGGACGATGTGCTGTCATTGAAGCGCAGGCAACTGATCCCAGTCCGTACCATGCCCCGCGCAGCGTCGCAGCGTGGTGGAGGCGGAATGGTTTTTACACTGCCAGTCCAATGTGAGACAAGTACGCACTAAATAGTGCGTACCATGTTGTCTCACACTTGGAAGCGTGAACCACTCCTGTCTCACACTTAGAAATGTGAGACATACTGTGTCTCACACTTCGTGGTGTGAGCCACTGTTCGTCCCAAGCAACTCACTCATCTACGTTGTTCTGTCTGTGCTTACATTGAGGGGTCTTTTGGCCTCTGTGGAATTTGCCTCAACAGAGAGTCTTCAATTCAATATTTCAACTTCCTCTCCATGAAGGCAGTTCCTACTTTCAAAGCTGTCACTATTACGAACTCATCACTGAATGTTGGTTGTGTTTGGAAGCACACCCGCAACATTCCTAAGCAAAAGATAGGGGCGAAGCAG